CTCAACTAGACTGAAGAACAAAAGGACAGCAACTTGTCTGTTCCCCTTCCCCAATTCCCCAATAAAATTAAAAATATATATATTCAGAGGTAAAATGGAGAAGCAAAAATTATTGTCCAGTTTGAGTTCTCAGTCTGGCCTACATGTCTAGCTGCTGCAGACAGCTCTTATGAAACTGGGGTCCAGCACCAGTCCATACCGAGTGCTATTCCAAAGGCACAGAGCAAATGCTGCTGACAAAACTTCTAAGTGCTCTAATGAGTAGAGTTTGAGAAATGACTAATTCCTTAACTGAGTATGATGCATGTATAGGGTTAGAGGTGGAGGGCATGCTTAATCTGGTAATCACTTACAGTGGGTAATTTCTCTGGGAACAAGCCCAGTTATTCATAATGTGCCATACTGGGCAGTTCTCTAGGCACCACTGCACTACTAATTTGGGTCTGGCACATATCCACATTCTCTTTATGACTCTCCCCACCCCCTACCCCCCATCCCACAATCCCAGCTCACCACCACCACCTTCTTTTTCCCCCAAAAAATAATGAAATAATAATGGTTGATGGCACCATCTAAAAGGTACCATAATAGGTGTACCCTGGGCTTTGGAATCACATCTAGTTTAGAATTCTGATACTAGTTTACATAGCTGAAAACATTCATTTCATCAATGTTCTGCTTTGATCTGCTTCTGAAAGTTGGAGGTAGGCTGTGGTGAACTTAGAAATGGGAAATACAAACATGATCCCCTTCTGATCATATTCCTGCCAGTTATCTAGTACCTGGCCTACCTATAGTTTTGCCAGATGCCTGTTTCCTAGGACTTTGTTTCCTGGGACTCACTCATAACCGTAACTAATAACTTCCCTGGAACGGGCCCTTGTAGGCTCAGGGAAACTGAAGTTAGACACAGGTTCTCTACTCCTAGGAGCTATCATCTAAGAGACCCAACATTGCCCTCTCCATACACTTAGTTTTGTGTTGGTCACTCAGTTTTTATATTAATCACCTTTCACATTCATTTATATGCAAAGTTGTTAATAAAAATATTTAGGGAAAAAGGATTGTCATACTAAGTCCATCAAGATGTTAACATTGATAGTACTTCTACAATTTCAAGAATATTATTAAGGTTTCAAGGATTGAAGACTAACAAGAAATATTAAAGTGGTACAGTTAGTACCATGAAAGCCACTACCTTTGAGATATGAATTTCACAAGGTATACACAATTTAGATGACAAATTAAGGCTGAAATTCTAAGGATGAATACCTAATATATTTCATTGATCTCACAAGGCTCACCAAGAAAGATGGTCCATTTAAAGGGGATAATTGAGGAGGGTTTAATGAAGATACTAAATCAAAGGGGGTGAGCAAGGTTAAGGGAAACCCAGTCAAGATGGTTAAGTACCTCAGAGTGTCCAGATCTTTTTGCACTGATGGAAATGTTCTACATCTATATTGTTTAATGCCATAAACATTAGCCAGATGTGACTATTGAGCACTATTGGTTAACGCACCTAATCCCCTGGATTTTTCATTTAATCTAAATTAATTAAAATATAAATAATCACGTGTGCCTAAGGCTAATATATTGGAAAATGCAGCTCAGGTCTAGCAAAGAGCCATTACAACTCCTAGGCCTAAAGGGGTAAGAAGGTACAATTACTGGAAACTTACTGGAAGCTGGAGTGATCCCGAATTAGAGCTGTATTTTATAGGAGAGGACTACATGACAGGAGCTATGGCCTTTGATAGAAAAATACAGATGTTGCCAACTTGCAGACTGGGAATATCCTGACTCACTCTTCTTGTCCTACCACTCCCCTCTGGTCCTTCTGACTGGTGGAACTCACCAGAAACTAGAGGACAAGACAACTCATTTATACATTCCATAAAGGTAGCCTCCTGAGGCACAGAACATAGTGAAGAGTAGAGATCAGATCTGGAGCAGAACATTATCATACCATGTACACAATGAGTTCAAGCATTAATTGTTTGGTTTATTAGCACTCGTAAATCTAAATATGGAACCAGTGGAAAAAATAGAACAAAACCGTGTTTTTCAATGAAGTCCTACAAATGTGTTGTATTAAAACTATCCCAGAGGTCTTTGCTGCACACTATATGGCACAATGCTTTCATCAAACTGCAACTGGGTTCACTTCAGTTTTCATACATGAAGAATGAAGTCAATACCATGTCCGTTCAACTATATTCAACTTTGGATTCTTACCAAGGATCTGTGTGAAACTTTTTCCAAGGTACCATCTCAAATCACAAAGCCTGGGAGTGGGAAACTTTTCACTTGACTTAGGCTAAAGGTCATTGTTACTCAATAAACAGATAAACTTAAATTAGAAATTGGGGGGGAAGGCCAATAAACTAGATATAGGAATCCAAACCTCCCTGCCCTCCCCAATTTCTAATCTAGGACTATATGACCACTCTCTTCACGTAGGCCTACTTGTTTTATTTTTGTACCATCACTCTGAAGGTTATGTGTTTTAAAAAACTTTCACTTTCTGCATTGAAGAGTAGTGCTGAGAAAAAAAAGAGGGCTATGGAGGGTATGGTAGTATCTATAGTCAAAATCAAATCCTATTTGTGGAAACCTTTATTGTCTGTCTACTGTAGCGGTCCCGAATATACCAAAAGCCCAGAACTTACTGCTCAGCACTTAAGGAAGAAAGGTCTAATGTTACTGGATGGGGGTTGAAGTAGGTGCCAAAGGAAAAGCAGTTCCCACCACCTCCCAGGAGCAGGAGCTGTTGCTCATCAGGAAGGAGGATGCTGGTATGGTTGTGTAACATTAATGGCCACGGCACATGTGCTGTGTCAATCTGATACTCAGTGCTCAATCCTGTAGTCAAACTGATAACAGTAACCCCGGGAACTGAGGAGGAATGAATCCAGACCCCTCCCACCAGTAGAAGCTTCCCATTGAGTACATGAGCTGTGTGGGAGTACCTTGGGGTAATGGGAGGCTGGATGTCTATTGATTCCCAGAGGAATCCACAAGAGATTGGTTTCAGAAAGAGTACAGAGCTCAGTGGCTCCTCAGAAGTACCCAGACCTCCAGCAATTAGGGCTCCCCCTTGCCAGCTGCAGGCACTGTGGGAATGCCGACCTTCAGGTGTTTCCCCCTCCACTGGGATCTTGACCCAAGCCATTGTCCCCACATGTAGAAAATACCAGTCACTTAGTACAGGTTCCACCACACTTCGACCCCCATACACAAACAAATATTTCTGATTCTCATAGGATACTTCTGTTGTTGAATGCCGCCAACGTGACAAAGTGCAATCTTCTGGGCCAGCCTTTGTTACTGTTACATTTAGGTCCTCGGTGCTATTATCCTCACTCTTACACAAACAAAGTTGGAGAATCCCCAAGGCTGGAGTTACTGGGGACAGTCTCCCTCCCAGAACCAGAACCTGAGTATCTGAAAGTCTTGTCACGGTGTGATAAAGGCGTCCATCCCACTGAGCTCCAGTCCTCCAACTACATACTTGTTTGCCTTTCCATTCAAAGTCACAGTATCTTGAGAGCAAGTGAAACTTGCTCACTCGGCAATGCTTCCCGTCCTGTTCTCCAAATCCACCTGTACTGAGAATAATGCATGGGCTCAGGAGGACAGACGCGTGGCCATATCTCTTAAGATTTGGGCCCTGGCTGTCACTAGTGACTACGTTGGCGGGGAAGATCCCTGAAGGGGAAGCAGGGTTTACCCTAGGAAACTCCTCTGAGGGTGGAAACACCAAAGTTTGGGAGAGAGTGTCTCCCCTAGAAGCGGCCAGAATGAAATAGTGGGCGCACTTCAGATGCCACTCCTCAAACTCGTCAAAAGGTTCAAGATTTTCCATGCGCCGGCGTTCTTCTGCGGGGAGAAAGCAGCGATAGAATTCATTCATGTCCATGGCACGGCAGGCAGTCCAGCCAGCCTGAAGGAAGCGGTGCTGCTGGGCCTCAACGTCGGGAAAGCGGTCCAGGCCATGCAGGGGAGAATTTAGCTGCCGAAAATGTTGCTGCATGAACTGGCCAAAGGCGTCATGTGGCTTCATCTGCTCGTAGACTACAAAAAGGGCGTTAGGAAAGCGCTGGGCTGCCCAGGCGATGAGGGCCGCGGCATCATCCGGCTCCAGGTAGGTCAGCACAGCCTCAGCCAGGAGCAGAGTGGGCGCGGCTGCATCAAGGCCCGCGGTGGTGAGGGCCTGGTCCAATCGCTGGAGCTGCCGCAGGTCCAAGCCCAGGATGCGGTAGTCCAAGCTCTCAAAGTACAGCGCCAACGCGGGGTCCTTGTATTGGAAAGGACCCGTTAATGCGCACAATTCCGGCGTGTCTCGAATTCTCTCTGCTTTGCGCCGCGCCACGTCCGGAAAATCTACCTCCCAGACGGCAGCCGAGGCCAGGAGGCCTGCAGTTTTCAGGCGAAAATAAAGGGAGTCTGAGCCGGCGCCAAGCGACAGAATCTGGGCACGGAGAGCTCCACAGGCCGCGCGCGTCCACGCCAGGAAGGCGCGCACGTAGTGCCCCACGGCGCATGCGCGTACGTAGTAGCCGCGGTGAATGAGCGGCGCGCGGCGCGCGGTCCCTGTAACTAGCAGCGCCGCAAAGGCGTCGTGCACGTACCCGCGCGTGGCCAGGGAACTTTTGCTAAGGGCGCTGCTGTCGTTGGTGCTCTGCACTGCCCCCGCTCGACTCCCGCGTCTCCGTGGGCGCATAGCCCTCCACGGTGGTGAGCTGCTCTTCCGTTCTGGAGAACCCACCTCGCGGACGTCTGTACGGAAAAATCACCCTCCTCCTTGACTGCTCTTCCGCGGACAAGTGTGCGTCACTTCCGGGAAGAGCGCGTCTCGCTAATCAGTATTAGGAGGGTGTCTAAGATTCAACTGTGAAAGACTTAATTCTTTGATTCTCTGGTACTGCATTTTCACGGGAAAACTGCCCACTACGGCTTATTGTGGACACATAAGCTGTGTCAGGGAGGCACGGGTTGTCACTTTTCTATAAGCCTTTCCATCTGAAGGGAAATTTTTAATTAAGTTCTCATAGTTGACGCAACACTGGACAAAATTCTTTAAGAGGTGAGTCTGTGGGAACCTACAACTAGACTTGGTCGGCACCACTGACCTTGGTGGGCAAGGAGAAGGAGGACTACTTCTGATGCTGACTACTAGTGCTAATTTATTTAATGCTTTGATTGTTACAAAAGAGATCCTATTTAAATCTGAAAACAAGTCAGCGAGGCCAGATGCAAAATGAAACCTTTAGACTCTCAGCAGTTCTCAACCTTCCTAATGCTGTGACCCCTTAATACAGTTTCTCATGTTGTGGTGACCCCCAACCATAAAATTATTTTCGTTGCTACTCTATAACTGTAATTTTGCTACTGTTGTGAATTGTAATGTAAATATCTATTTGTTTTCTGGTGGTCTTAGGCGACCCCTGTGAAAGGGTTGTTCGACCCCCAAAAGGGTCGTGACCCACAGGTTGAGAACCGCTGCTTTAGAGGCTGTGATTCACCCAATAACTGTTTCCCCACAGACTGTTGATTCCCTTGTATTTCTGGCTTTGTGCTAAGCTGACAAGTAAATTAATTACGCAGTCCGAGTTTTTCAGCTACACAATGGCATTCCCCTCCACTTTCCAAGTTTTGTGATTCTAGTGTAGTGCGGGAATCACGGAGTAGAGGTGATTATTCCCTCCTGATGTGGTCAGTCTTTTGGGGGGTTTAAAAATAACCATCAAGTGTCTGAGTTGGGTGGGTGTCATCGCCAGTCGAAAACTGCTTCCAGAGATATTTATTTATTTATTTATATTTTTTTTAGCTGAGCCATCCCGCCACCTGTTGGCAGCTCACGGCTGCTCAGCTCGGGCTGACTCAAACCACTGTTGCTCAGAGCTCAAACTCTTGAGCGAGCTCTTAACCAACTGAGCCACTCAGCCGGCCCGCTTCCAGAGATATTTAAAGAGACATAATTTATTAATTGAGATTTGGTGACTGACTGTGGGGGCTGAGATGGAGAAAGGAATCAGGATGACGATAGGTGTGGTTACCTTGAAGCAGTATAGCGTTAAAAGAGCATGAGTTTTGGAGGCCAGCCAATTTGAATTTGAATACTGGAACTCAAAAGATTGAGTCAGGATAAAGGTTTGATAATTGAGAAGTTTCATTTAGATTTGGTGTTTAAGGTCTTTTAATAACAACCTTAGGAAGAGCAATTTCTGTGGAGCAAATGAAGGCAGAATCCATTGTTATAATGAATGGGAGATAAATCAATGGAGGCAGCCAGTCTAATTTCACTCAAGGACCTTAGCTCAGAAGGAAAGGAGAAACAGCACAGTAGTTAAAGAGGGATGTGGGAGACAAGAAAATTTGCGTTATTATTTTTAGGTGGAAGCAAATACTGTCCTTGCATGTTGGTCCCCTGAGTGAAATTAGCCAGTGGAGAGAGAGACAGGTTGGAGGAACAGAAAAGTGAGATTAACTAGTGGAGTAATGACTTGTAATAGATGGGAAAGAGTGGGATCCTGGCACAAATTAGGCTTAAATACAAGAGAATGAATCCTTTTTCTCTGACTCATGAGGGAAGAAAGGATGTAGACAAAGATAAGTTTGTGGGAGAAGGCAGAGAGAAATAGGGGGAATTCGTGCCTGATGGCTTCTGTTGTCTGCGTCTGGATTGTCACTTCAGTGTGAGGAGATTG